TGGCTAACACAGAGAAATAACGGAGTGAGAAGGCATCCCGCGGCCTGCTTGCAAGTTCGGAGCAAGTTCTGATGGGAATGGGGGCGCGGCCTGGGGCCTGGCAGCGTCTCTGCTTAACCAGCCAGAGCGCTCTTTCCGCGTGCTCGCCTTGAGGCCAACCTCCCACACGTTGGGGACACGGGAATTCTGTGCCCATGGGCCATCGTGAAGGCTACACGGGGGTGGATGGCAAGGCGCAGCTCACGTACAGACTCTACTGTCCCAGCAGACGTCACCTACAAACCCAAGTTCAAAGACAAAATTTTTAAGAATGTCAGGACAGTGACAGCAGAGCGTGAGACCAAGCGTGGGGCCCAGCATGACTGCCTGGGTCACACACCTGCAAAGCCAGGGACAGACGGGCTGCAAGGGTGTGGGCTGGCCACCCCCAGGGTCTGCTGTGCAGGGAGCCTTGGTTTTGTACTCGCTGCGGTTTTATCTTGTCTGAATGTTGTCAATAAAATCAGTATAGACATTTAAAATGAAGCTGACTATGTGAAGACTGCCAACGCTTTCTTCTCTTGTTTTCAGAGAAGTTCCTGGGAGACCAGCGGCTCAGCTATGGACAGCCCCTCACGCTGACCTTCCAGGTGCCCCCCGGGGGGTCCCCGCCCCCCGTGCATCTGAGGCTGGAAGGGGCAGGCTTGGCCCTGTCTCTGAGGCACTCCAGCGTGTCCAGCCCCCAGGACGCCGGGGAGGCCCAGCTCAGGTTCCTGTAAGTGTCCCCTCTGTCCTGAGAGATGGGACTCAGGGTAGTCTCCCAGGTCCGGGCACACTTCTGACGCCCCTGTGGTCATTCTCAGTCCTTGGCGCCGCCCGCCCCGTGTCGGGTTCTTGCTTTGACTGCTCCTCCCTGCCAGCCTGCAGGAGACCTCCGAGGACGTGGACCCTCCGCTGCCCGCCTTCCACTTCCAGCGGCTCCTCACCAACCTGACCAGTCTCCGTGTCTGTGCCGGCCGCCGCAGCCCAGGCCCTGCCGGTCAGTGACGATAGCAACGCTCCCCCGAGACCCCAGGACTGGGCTGGGCTCCTTTGGGCATGGCCTTGTCGCCTTCTCACAGCAGGGTGGTTATTGTCCCCATTTTACCAAGAAGGAATTTGAGCTCAGAGAGGTCAGGACACTTGCCCAAGGTCACATAACCTGTAAAGGCAGCAGGAATGATAGCTGAAGACAGAGGCGGGGGCTGGACAGGTGAGGGGCCTGAGGATGGACAGCTCTAAGGGGCAGTTGTGTGGCCAACAAAGTGGCCAAGAGGGTGGACGTGGTCACTCCACTGTGACCCTCAGTCCATGCTGGCCGCAGGTCAGCCCCGGTTCCCTTGGACAGCAGCTCCCCTGCTGGTCACTGGCGGTATTGCACCTAAGCCACCCCAAGAGCCGTTCGGTCTGGTTTTCCAGGACTTCCCTAATTAGGAGGCCTGGTCATCAGACATCACTGACAGGCACTTGTCACCGCCTCCCACCCTGGTCTCACAGTGATTGGCATGGTTATCCTCTGACCTGTTCCTAGTGATAATGTACCTGAACACAATGTAAAAAACCAATATATAATAAGGCCCTAACTATAATGTACAAAATACACAAAAGGGGAGGAAACGACATGAAAATAATCCTGTGAGTTCCAAATGGTCAGTGCTCAGGCATGAGCACACTAGAACACATGGGAAGTGGTCAGAGCTTCCCTGAGGTGATGAGCAAGCTGGGGTTTAGGAGAAGCGAGACGCACAGAAGCCATCCACACACACGGAGGGCAGGGCGCAGGACACAGTGTGGGTGGCCAGTGCGGGGACAGAAGCCAGCGGGGTCAGCAGTCACCCGCAGACATAGGTGAGGGGTCACCGAAGGCAGTGGTCACCGGCAGGCCAGGGCACAGGGAGCGAGGGTGGCGCAGTCCCGCCCCCTTCGCCAGCGAGGTTCTTGGAAAAGTTTACTTGGCCTTGGTGGCTGTGCTTCATCGCTTCTCGAGGGAGAACACTCCGCGGAGTGACCGTTCATTTGCGGGCTAGCCCTGTAAAATCAACTTTCAAACATCCAATTGAGTATGATCGACCCTTATTCTTTAACGCGTTTATAGTTGTCATTCTGAAATCATAACTAACTGGGGATCGTGAGTGAGGAAGCTGCAGAAGGGGCCACTGGTGGGACAGGTTGTAGTGACGATGGTGACTGAACCCAGGGGCTGGGCTGCCATCACCGGTGAATGGCTGTCTGGAAAGTTCTGAACGAAACAAAGCATAGTGTTCCCCCCACCCCCGCCACTGCACGCACCTGCGCCCTGGACAATTCCATGTGCACGTACAACATGCGAAAATGCCTGTAGCCGGCACAGTGGCGCATGCCTACGGTCCCAGCTACTCAGGAGGCTGAGGCGGAGGGATCACGTGAGTTCGAAAACAGCCTGGGTGAAATCTCGAGATCTCCAGCTTAAAAGAAAAATGCCTCGTGCCTATGTGTAAGGTGGAGTTGGGGTCTAGGCTCAGATGTTTACAGAGGGTTTTCTGCCCTTTCAGCCGGACATTTGCGGGTCACAGGGGGAGTTTCTGAGCACATCCCTGTGACAACATCATCGATCGATCCACAGGCTGCCCTTGTCTATTTGGGCCTGTCGCGTACATGAGCAGGAAGGTCTGGGGGAAAACACGTGCAGGTCTTTCTCTTCTGCCCTGCAGGCCAGGTGTTCCTGACCGAGGTCCAGCTCACATCCGCCCGGTGGGGGCTGTCCCCCCCGGCCTCCTGGGTGGAGACCTGCTCCTGTCCCCAGGGCTACTCAGGCCAGTTCTGTGAGTCCTGTGCTCCAGGATACAAGAGGGAGACCCCCCGAGGGGGTCCCTATGCCAACTGTGTGCCCTGCACCTGTAACCAGCATGGCACCTGTGACCCCAACACAGGTGAGTCTCCTGCAGCCCGTCCTGAGGCCCCCTGGGCTATAGCCACAACAGCGAGATGAGAACTGACCCGGATGGGGTCAGCCTGGCACCGGTGCCAAGGAGTTGGCCAAGCTGTGGGGACACATGGGCACTGAGCCATCTCGCGCTGCCTGCCTGGGCATCTCGCATTTTAATAAAAGTAGTGACTGGAATTTATTGAAGTATCAGGCTCTGTGCCAAGGACTTCGAATGCATCGGGTCTCTGCAGGCCGTCTGTCTCTGCCCGCCCTCTCTCTGGGCTGGCCCTCCTCCCAGGAAGGGCCAGGGAGAGGCCTCAGGGGTCCCACCGTGCAGGGGTTGCGGTAAGGAAGGGCAGAGGCATTAGCACGGCAGGTGACGGGGTTGGGGGGTCTCATGAAGGTTATGCAGGGAACAGCAGCCGACAGGTGTCAATCTAGAGCCACAAACCTGCCACCCTCACACCTTAGTGGCCTGTGGCCTCGGCAAAGTCACTTCCCTCCCCAAGCGTGCTTGCTGTCTGTAAAGGGGGGAGAATGACAGTAAACACGCCACTGAGGTTGTCCAGACGAGGCCACGAAGACATCAAGAAACCCCCGGCTTTGCAGACACAGATGTGGTTTCCGCCAAAGCTCAGCCATTGCTACCTGGGCTCGCCTGATGGTCTTCACCTGGAAAATGTTCAGGGCTGTCTAGAAATAGTAAAACAGTGTCACCAGCTTCCTCCCCGTGCTAGCCACCGTTTTACATGCTGTGTCACTGAGCCCTGCAGAACTCCCTGGGGGTGCTGGGACCGTTGCTGTCCCAGCTCCAGGTGGGGGAGGGTGCGGCCGCATGGCCAGCAGGTGGCAGAGTCGCACTGCCCTGCAGCCCAGGCTCCAGGTCAGCTGGTCACGCCCAGCTGTTCCTACTCAGGCTTAGAGGCACCCACCTGCACAAAGGGCTCTCTCCGGGTCACGTGGCCTCTCCACCCCCACAGCCAGGCCTCTCCCAGAGCCCGTGGGCTCTCTCTGTGAAGGGGAAGGCCAGCTCAGCATTTTTTCCTGAAAAGATAGCAGCCTGTGCGTTGGCAGTCCTAGCCAGGGCCGGCGAGCACACAGGGGCATCCTCCCTCCTCGTGCCCACGGCAGGCATCACTAATCGAGCCAGATAGGGCCTCATAATCCTCCCTCTGCCCCCGCACTGCTCCAGGCAGCCCCTCTTGAGGAAGCAGAGTCCTTCTATGCGCTGGGACAGGTTGTCGCCCCATGTACACTCTGGCCCTGCCATGACTCCCGCTGTGTTGGGCAAGTCCTCATCTGTGAAATGGGCAGAGCCACCGCCCGGGCTGGGAGGAGTCACAAGCGTATGGGTGCTGGGCCCAGACAGGGACAGTTCCCCTGGGTGCCACCCCTGCTGTGTGTGTCCACCCAAGGGTCCCACCCACCTCCTAGCCAGGCACTGCTGGGGGCCTCCTGGAGGGTGGCCTTGGTTAACCCTTTCTAACCAGGTTTCTCACATGACCCCGGGCAGTGGGGCCTCCCTTCCCAAGTGCCCGGGCTCTGAGCAGACGCCAGGAGCTGTCAGGCTGGAGAAGGGGTTTGCAGAATCCACCATGTTCGGAAGACAGAGGCAGGGACGGGGCTCCGTTCTCTGAGACCAACGCAGCCTCTGGGTACCTCTGGGCCCCACAAAGGGAGCCTCTTTGCAAAGCTGTGTGAAGGCCCAAATCCCGGATCCGTGTGTGCCTTAGTGCCGGTCAAGCTTCCTTTGGTCCCTTTGAGTTAATAGAGGACATGGTGAGAGTGGAGGGTGGCTGTGTTCCCCATTGGTTCGTAGGTTTCAGAATATAGGATAGTAACGGTAGTGACCGTCCGTGTGCCCGGGGTGTGCAAGGCACTGTGAGTGCATGGCTCCTTGAATGCTGGTGCAAACCTCTGAAATCAGTGCTGTTGTCATTCCCCCCTTGCAGGTGAGGAACTGAGGCAGGGGTGTTAGACGACTCGCCCAGGTTCACGTGGGCTGTGAGTGGCTGACACCAACCCAGGCTGGACTCTCCAGCCGGGCTGTGCTGCCTCCACGTGGGAGGGTTCCCGAGTCACTTCTACCCAGGATGTGCTCTGTGACCTCCTCCACCATCTGGGGGTGTCCTGGGGTCAGGCAGCGGTAGGCAGGTGCTTGTCTCGCCCCTCAGGGATCTGCGTGTGCGGCCACCACACCGAGGGCCCGTCCTGTGAGCGCTGCATGCCTGGATTCTACGGCAAGCCCTTCACGGGCCAAGCTGACGACTGCCAGCCCTGCCCCTGCCCCGGGCAGTCAGCCTGCACGACCGTCCCGGAGAGCGGGGAGGTGGTGTGCACCCACTGTCCCCCGGGCCAGAGAGGTGAGTGGCCCCACAGAAGGGCCCAGCTCCAGTACCCTGACTCTGCCCTGGGTTTGGGGTGTGGCAGGTGGGGAGAGACCAGCTTAGGAGTGGCAGGTATAACTTCTGGGGACACTGAGTCCCTTACTGCCATTGCCAGGGCCCCAGGCTGCTGTGGGTTTCTGGCAGACTGTGGGCCATTGAGCTTTTGAAAATACCCGTGTCCGGGCTCTGGCCCAGAGAGCCTGGTGCAGCTGGAGGTGGAGCCGGGGAATGTGGATTCCTAGCAAGTCCCCAGGGTGGGTGCGATGCACAGCTAAGGTGGAAACCTTTGATTAAATTTCCAGCTTTTCTTTTTTTTGTTTTTTGAGACAGAGTCTCACTCTATTGCCCAAGCTAGAGTGCCGTGGCGTCAGCCTAGCTCACAGCAACCTCAGACTCCTGGGCTCAAGCAATCCTCCTGCCTCAGCCTCCCGGGTAGCTGGGACTACAGGCATGTGCCACCATGCCCGGCTAATTTTTTCTATTTTTAGTAGAGACAGGGTCTTGCTCTTGCTCAGGCTGGTCTCAAACTCCTGAGCTCAAATGATCCTCCCACCTCGGACTCCCCGAGTGCTAGGATTACAAACATGAGCCACTGTGCCCGGCCTGAACTTCAGCTTTTCAACACGTCACGAGGCAACGTGTGAGGAAGAAATTCCCCTGCCCCCGGCCGCTCCGCTCTTCACTCTCAGAGACAGCCTCGACGTCTGATTATTTCAAAAATAGCTTTATTAAGATATTATTCACATATCCAAGACTTTAACCATTTAAAGTGTACAGTGACTTTTGGCATATTGCATTAATAATTTATTATTGTGACAACACACGTAACACAAAATTTGCCATCTTCGCCACTCTTAAGCGTGTGACTCAGTGTCAGGGAGCATTAATGCATTCACAGTGTCACGCAGCCATCACCACCACCCGTCTCCAGAACCTTCCTTCATCCCACGTAGAAGCCGTACCCATTCAACGCACCGTCTAGCAGCACTCCGCCTGCAGCCCCCAGCGACAACTGTCCTACTTTCTGTCTCTCTGCATTTATTCCAGATGTCTCATTTAAGTGTACTCGCACACGTGTCCTTTTGTGTCTGGCTTGTTTCCCTTAGCGTAGTGATTTCCAGCCTCCTAGGCGTCTGGTTTTGCTTTTGGTACCTATGGCTGCCCTAAATCGGTCCTGCCAAATGCGCTGCTTCCCTGGGACCATTCTGAGCACAGTCCCTGGCAGCTAGCGGGGCGGGGCTGGGCCCCAGAGCGGGCAGCCCAAGAACCAAGGGACTGAGGTCCCACCACGGGACCCTGCACCCCACTGGCCACCACGCTGTCCCTCCATCTCCGTAACCTTCCCCACGTGTCTGGCTCCCGACCGAGGCTGTCCTGATCTGAGATGCGAGGGAGGCGCACTCGGCGAGAGTGGACAGTGAGAGAAGCTGAGGCTGACCCGGGCTGAGTGTGCCCAGCGGAGGATTTCAGGGCAGCAGAGGCTGGGAGGGAGGGTCGCCTGGATGGACTGTGGATTTGGGGCCTCTGCCAGCCCCCTTCATTATGCACACCAGCGTCCTTGGCCTTGTGAGCGCCTGGCACACACAGCTCACCTGGACATCTGAGGCAGATGCTCCCCACCCGCCCAGGATGACACCCGCCCGCCATCCTGACCCCTTGCCGGGATGCCCGGAGCTCCCTCCTGCCCCGGGAGCTGTCCCACCTGGTTCCAGGTGAATGGCCACCTAACTACGCGGCTCACCTCCCTCCTCACCAGCTTCCATCTCCCCCCGTCCTGTCTGGCTTCATTTCTAGTTTAGAGTCCCAAAGGCAGGTGCTAGCCTCGACCTTGAACTCTGTTTAGATTTTTCTTTTCTTTACTTCCTTAGCATTCCTCGTTTCCCTTTTCAAGGTCGCCCTCAGGAGCATTAACTTGATTCCAGCTGGACTGACATGTTTTGAGGACACAGGGAGCTCACCTCTGTTTTTCACATTGACAACAGCTATTTTTTTAATCCTAAAATCAGTACCTACTCGTTATGACGGTTGAAGCAGTGTAGAAACCTACAGAGGAGCACGGAGATGCACAAGGCAACTTCACACGCCCCTCCTCCCGCCACCCCCAGGGGCCCACGGCTGCTGTCAGCGTCTGCGGGCCCCCAGACTTGTGTTGTGTGTAGGTATGCTCAGGTGTGTCTACACTAACACATGGCTCAAGTATGTTTCTTTATGCCCCGTCTGTGTCCCCAGTGGATCTCCCAGGCCACCACCCTCCAAAAGCCTCCTTGCCAGCAGCTCTTCTGGGGCTCACAGTGACGCTGGGGGCTGGAAGATGAGGCAGCAACTGCAGGGTCAAACCCAGGAAATCGGGCAGGACCCTGAGACACACTGTCCAAAGCAAGCTCAGAAACCACAGGGAGCAAGGCCGGGTGCAGTGGCTCACACCTATAATCATAGCACTTGGGGAGGCCGAAGCGGGAGGATCACTTGAGTTCAGGAGTTCGAGACCAGCCTGACCAAGAGCGAGACCCTGTCTCTACTAAAAATAGAAAGATTAGCCAGGCATGGTGGCACATGCCTGTAGTCCCAGCTACTTGGGAGACAGAGCCAGAAGGATTCCTCGAGCCCAGGAGTTTGAGGTTGCTGTGAGCTAGGCTGACGCCACAGCACTCACTCTAGCCTGGGTGACAGAGCCAAACTCTGTTTCAAAAAAAAAAAAAACTAAAGAAAGCAAAACAGGTGACCAGGAGCTGTACACGGAAGAGCAGCTGAGGGGGAGGAGGACAATGGGAAGGAGGAAGACAGGGACAGTGGACAGTGGCGGTGCAGGTGAGGAGGAGGAAGAGTGATGAAGATAATGGTGAAGCTAATGTGAGGTGAGGATGATGAAGGTGGCTGAGGTGCTGATGGAGACAATGGTGAGGGCAGTGGTGACGGTGACACTACTACAGAGCACTCACCACATGCCAGGCTCCTCGTTAAGTGCTTTGTGCAAATATGTCCCCGAACCCTCTCAACAGTCCTGAGGGAGCTGCCATGGTTGTCCCCACTTTACAGACGAGGAGCCTGGGTTCAGAGAGGCACAGCGTCTTGCCCGAGACCACACAGCCAGTGGGCGGCGCTGGTGCCCGGCTCTGCCCTGGCGGAGCCTGAGGGTGCCCCTCCCCCGCGGCCGGTGCCCTCACGCCCGCCCCGCTCCACACAGGCCTGCGCTGCGAGATCTGTGATGATGGCTTTTTTGGGGACCCCCTGGGGCTCTCCGGGGCCCCCCAGCCCTGCCGGCAGTGCCAGTGCAACGGAAACGTGGACCCCAACGCCGTGGGCAACTGCGACCCCCTGTCCGGCCGCTGCTTGCGCTGCCTGCACAACACGACGGGGGACAGCTGTGAGCGCTGCCAGGACGGCTTCTACGGGAGCGCCCTGGCCCCTCGGCCCGCCGACAGATGCCCGCGTGAGTGCCGCCGCCCGCACCCTTGGGTGGCGCAGGGTGGGCCCCTGTCCTTTGCCCGGGCTCGGGGTCTGGGTGGGGTGGCCCCTCTGCGAGGCCCTGTAGCTGCGGGCAGGCTGCTCCCCTTCTCGTCTCCTTGTCCAGACCCTGGGAGCGCCTGGTCCCCTTCTGGGTCTCTCTCACCCCTGAGATCCAGCTCTGCTGCTGCCACCAGTTCCTGCCTTGTTAACTTAGCAGTCAGCTTGCAGGGCTCACCCGGTGATGGGGACGGTCCTGGGCCTGGGTCAACGCTCCGCCCTCTGTGCCCCTCGGGCCCCAGCTGCCTCGGCCAGTGGGAGCTCCCAGAAGCCCCGCAGGGGAGAAACAGGGCCTCAGCCCCAGACCCGTTTGCTACGGGCCCTCCCCAGCAGCCCCCGGCCCTGCTGACTCGCCCTACACAGCCCCTTCAGGAATCGCTGCACTGGCGGGGTGAGATGCTGCCCTTGCGGTGGCCGGGAGAGCAGGGCCACACGACCCAGGGCCGTGGGTGCAGGGCTCTGCCTGTGACTCCCACCCGCCCGAGTCACCGGCCTTTCTCTCCAGGCTGCCGGGGCCAGGGCATAGCCAGGGGGCTGAGATTTGAACTCAGCCCTAGAACCTTCTTCCAGGAGGGGCTTAGGAATCTGGACTGAATGTGCATCATCTCCGGGGGCTCCCCCATCTTCTCTGCCTCTCCTGGGACCCCAAAAGGCTGCACAATCTACACTGTTCCCCAACACCCCTTCCTGCTCCCACCCCAGCCTGCAGCTGCAACCCCGGGGGCTCAGTCAGCGACCAGACACCCTGCGACCCCATGACGGGTCAGTGCCCCTGCCTGCCTCACGTGACTGGGCGGGACTGCGGCCACTGCAGCCCGGGCTTCTTTGACCTCCAGCCCGGGAGGGGCTGCCGCAGGTAGGTGGCTCAAGGCTGTGGTGCCCTGGGGCCCTCACCAGGGGGGAAGAAGGCACCCGGCAGCCTCCAGGGAGGGGCCTGGTGGGAAAGGTGTCGTTCTAGGCCCACGGCCAGGTACACTGTGCACTTCACCAAACTGGGACAAAGGGACTATCCCTTGGCGTCAGACTCGTGGCCCTGCCAGCCCAGGTCCCAGGCCAAGAGCAGCCCTAGGGGATGTCTGAGTGGGCAGGTGGCCAGGTTGGTCTCTGATTCCCTTCTCAGTGACGCCCATCACTGGGTGGCCTTTTTGGCCACAGTCGCACCTTAGACAAGCGTCTTTAGGGAACAATGGAGGACTCCAGGGAAATGCTGAATGAAGCAAACAGGTTTCTTCCTTGCGGGACTTCTCAGAGCCTTTAATATGCTAATTGCATTGTGACTTTCCATTGGAGGGGTATAGTTTCTCCAAGATGTATTTGTTCTCATAGCCTTTTTTCTTATCTTTTGGCAAGCATCCTCTGAGACTGGTACTTCCCAGGGCACAGCCTGGAGAAGCTGATGACATGCATGGACAGGGGACGGGCCTGGCGGTAGAGCGAGCGCCCGGATCCGAAGGCCCCTGGCCAGCTGCAGCCAGCTCAGGCCGGGTGAGGAGTGGCCCAGAGCTTGCCTCAGACCAGCGTTCTTTCCCTTATCGCAGCTGTCAGTGCCACCCGCTGGGCTCCCAGGAGGACCAGTGCCACCCCAGGACTGGGCAGTGCCCCTGCCGCCTGGGCGTAGTGGGCCAGGCCTGTGACAGATGCCAGCTCGGGTTCTTTGGCTTCTCCATCAAGGGCTGCCGGGGTAAGGAGGCCGGGCCTCCCCGGGCTGCCTGGAGGGCGGGCCTGAGGTCTCAGGGCAGGACAACCAGCGGGAGGGCGCGTGTGGCGGGAGAGAGGGTGGTCAGACGCAGGGCAGGTTGCCTGAGAGCAGCTAAGTTCCTATGTGCCTGGGGCCATCTCGTCACCTCTCTGGGTCTCAGTTTCCTCATCTGCAAGGTTGGGCTGCATCGGCAGTCCCCAAACTGGGCTGGTCCTCAGATCCCCAGGGGACGTTCAAGTAAGTCAGGCTCTCAGTCACCTCCAGCCTCCTGAATCAGAGTTTCCAGGGAAGGGCCTGGCAATCTATGCGTGAGGCTGCCTGGGGGGTTCTGGGAGCTGCCAGGTATGCGGACAGGGGGCCCAAGGGGTTCCAGTGTGGAGACGGCTGTCACGGCACCCAGCGCCTGCTGCCACCGCCCCTCCAGCCTGCAGGTGCTCCCCGCTGGGCGCCACCTCGGCCCAGTGCCACGAGAACAGCACATGCGTGTGCAGGCCCGGCTTCGTGGGCTACAAGTGTGACCGCTGCCATGACAACTTCTTCCTCACGGCGGGCGGCACGCAGTGCCAGGAGTGCCCACTCTGCTACGGCCTGGTGAAGGAGGAGGTGAGTCAGCCGGCCGCCCCCTGCCTGCTAATCTCACGTCCTCAGCAAGCGCCAGCTGTGTGCCGGGCGCCGGCAACGGCCCACTCCTCCCGGCTCTCCCCGTGCCCGACCTGCCTCCCGGCCCACCCAGGCTGGCCCTTCCCCTGCCCTGGGTGGCACTTGTCAGCTACCCTTCCGACCACCCTGAGCCAAGGTCCCACACTTTGTCAAGTTCAGTAGGGATGAGACCCCAGGCGACCCTCGGTAGGGGGGAGCGATGGGAGGCAGTGCCCATTCTGGGGCAGAAGTAGAATTTCAAGCGGGGCGGTGGGGTGGTGCAGGGGGGCGGTAGGGCGGTGCAGGGGGGCAGTAGGGCGGTGAGGAGGCCAAAGCCTAAGCTCTGGGGTTAACCCATTGGGGTTCCCCACTGCCCCGACCACATTAATGTCACGTACCCAGGCAGGCAGCAGCCCTGGCAAGCCTCAGTCTCTCCTGCTCCAAACCGTAGATAGTCCAGGCCTGCACCCCCCACCAGAAACCGGGGGCAGCTTCCCCACGTGTGGTATCGTAGGAAGGTAAGGTGGCGTGTACGGAGTATCAGGTGACATCCCCAGCTGCTCGTGGGCCGACCCCCATGATCAAACCCATTGATGTTTCAGCAGGAAAACAGATGAGTATTTATACCAAGTGGGTGAATAAAGGCCACAAGTAACCTGTTTCAGAATAGTTTTACTTCCAGATCAGCGCAGGTCAGATTTGGCCATCGAGTAAGGAACGGAAAGCCGTGTGGTCTTTCAGAGTATTCGGGTTTTGGAATCAAGGACGGGGCTCAAGACCTGTGCCTGCCACTAAGAGTGGATATGGGGACACTGCGGCTGGCACCTATAAGTGCTCTGTCAACGCGGTTATTGTTCCTATGGCTAAAAGGCGTGGCTGGGGACATTCATAGCACACTCAGCCAGCAAGCGTCCCCGGCACGCCTGCCCCGTGCCAAGTCCTGGGCGTACAGGAAACAGGACGGACAGAAATCACTCCATGGCAGGACAGAGGTACGGTTGGCTGAGTGTCAGCAGGTGCCGTGGGCGTGAGAAGGGAAGGGACAGCCACGCTGGCGTGGGCAGGGTTGGCTCTCAGAGGTGTGTTGTGCCCTCAGCTTTGACGCCCCGGGCAGGCTTTGGAGAAGGAAGCCCGCAGGCAGAGCAGGCCAGGCAGAAGCCAGCGGGAGGTGTCTGGCCCGCACTTGGAGCCTCACGCACCTTTTTTTCCCTGTCCCCTCCAGGCAGCCAAGCTGAAGGCCAGACTGACCCTGATGGAGGGGTGGCTGCAGGGGTCTGACTGCAGCAGTCCCTGGGGACCACTAGACATTCTGCAGGGAGAGGCCCCACGGGGGGACGCCTACCAGGGCCACCACCTGCTGCCAGGTATGGCGGGAGGGCAGAGTGGGACACTGGGAAGCAGGGTAGGGCCATGTGGCACCTTCAGTCTGGTCTCATTGATGCCTTGAGTGCTCTCAAGATATGGTCCTGAAGCCCGTGGACCTCCTGCAATGTCCTTAGCCCCCTTGTACTTGTCACTGTGTCAATACCAGCCTCTGTCCCTGCACCCCTTGCCCCACTCAGACTCTAAGCTCCGTGAGGACAGGATGGGTTCATTCATTTGTTCACTCGCTCCACATGCTGAACAGGGTCCCGCTGCCTTGGTCCTGGGCATTTTGCTCGCCTCATCTCCCCAGCACTGTGCTTGGCACGTGGAAAATAAATAAGCCAGAAAAAAGGAGGAGGCCCGTCACTAAGCCAGGTGGAACTTGGCCCTGGGGCACGGAAATTCAGACAGCACTGACAGCAAACTGATACCTTGGTGAAATTCCTGTTCATAAGCACCTGGGCTCCTGTAGCAGCCTGACACAGGGGAGCTGGGCACAGGCTGGCTGGACTGACTAGCGAAATGGGGCTCTCAGGGCCACATCTTAAAACGCCCGCACGTGGGCGGCGTTGTGAGTTACACAGCTGACTCGAGTGGAGTGTCGCTGCGGTTCCTGATTCAGGAGTTGTTTGTGTGGCTCTGGAAGGCCTGGGTCCCTCCTGGTCCCCCGTGTGTGGCTGACTTACTGTGCATGGCACCTTGAGTCATGATTTGCCTCCTCTGGGCCTCAGCCTTTTGCATCTGTAAAATGGGAGACATTTCTTTTGCAACTAACCGCTGGTGCACAACAGGGCTGGTGATGGAGTTCAGCTTCCTGGGGAGAGTGGAGGGCCCAGAGTGGGGTCCCTGGAGTTGGGGGCTTTAGTGTGACATCTCCCTGGCTCTGTGAATCGAGGGCTGTGGACTTCCTGCAGGCGCCCGGGAAGCCTTCCTGGAGCAGATGACGGGCCTCGAGGGTGCTGTGAAGGCCGCCCTGGAGCAGCTGCGGGTGCTGAGCAAGGGAGCCCACTGTGCCCAGGCCAGAGCCCAGAAGACCTGCGTCCAGCTGGCAGACCTGGAGGCAGCACTGGCGTCCTCAGAAGAGGAGATTCTGCACGCGGCCACCGTTCTCAAGTCTCTGGTACCCCAGGGCACCCCCTCCTGCTGAGCCTGGGCACTGATCCCTGCCCCAGCCCTGCCATTGCCCTGGTGACGGGCGGGCCTCCCCACTTTGGGGGGCTCAGTTGCATCTGCAAAATGGGGGCCCACCCTGTGCCTCCTGTGCTGATTCAGTGAGATAAAGTTTGCAAAGAGCAGGCACGTGGCAAGTAGGCAGTGGCGGGCGGCGTCACATTTGGTGTCACATTTGGTGTTTCTGCAGCCTGGGGTTCTGCTCCCTGGAGGCTGACTCTGTGGCTCTGTCTCTGTGTTTATAAAACTACTGATGCCGTTCAGTTCTGCCCAGTAATGTAGCGAGACGTGGACCTTGACCTTCAGGCCTGGGCCATCAGTTTCTCTTTTCCTCTTTGCTCTAAAGGTGATTCCCCAGGAAGGGCCCGGCCAGCCCAGCCCCTGGAGCCATCTGGCCGTGGAGGCCCGAGCCCTTGCCAGGAGGTGAGCCCTGAGGCGCTGGGGGCTCCAGGGTCAGGGTCAGCCCCACAGGATCAGATGACGTGAGAGCTGCCTGGCGGGGGCAGGGGCAGGGGCAGGGGGCGACAGGTGTCACCACCATGAGAAGATGAGGAGGAGGGGCATGGATGGAAGGGGAGTGTGAGCCCAGGGGTGCTGGGGATAAAGCTTGGACCAAAGGCATCTGAGATTGTTTACTGGCTTGTTTTTTATTTATTTGTTTTTTATTTTTACTTTTTTGAGACAGAGTCTCACTTTGTTGTCCAGGCTAGAGTGAGTACCGTGGCGTCAGCCTAGCTTACAGCAACCTCACACTCCTGGACTCAAGCAATCCTCCTGCCTCAGCCTCCCAAGTAGCTGGGACTACAGGCATGTGCCACCATGCCCGGCTAATTTTTTCTATATATATATATATATATATTTTTCAATATATATATATTAGTTGACCAATTAATTTCTTTCTATTTATAGTAGAGATGGGGTCACACTCTTGCTCAGGCTGGTTTCAAACTCCTGACCTCGAGCAATCTGCCCACCTTGGCCTCCCAGAGTGTTAGGATTACAGGCGTGAGCCACCGCACCTGGCCTGTATTTTAATAACAGCGCTATTGAGATACAGTTCACACTGTACAATTCAGTGGTTTCACTATATTCACAGCATTGTACAACCAGCACCGCACTAATTTCAGAATATTTCATCACCCTGGGAACAAGCCCAGACGCATTTGCCATCACTGCCCATTTCTCCTCTCGTCCCCGCCCCCGGCAACCACTGGTCACTTTCCGTCTCTCTAGATTTGGCTATTCTGTGAACAGAATCATGCGCTATGTGTCCTTTACGTCTGGCTCTGCTCGCGTCGCGGCCACCCAAGCGTGTT